GAGGAAATTGTTTAAATGTTGGTCAGTGAATCATTATGTTTTACAAACTAAAAATCGTATGCATCAGAGAGAGAGGTCGACTGGTCCTAGCAGTCACCATTAGCTCAGGTGTTCTTGGCCCCCACACATCCCAAACAACAAATGGGACTTCTCCCAGGGAGCATTACCCAGTCGAACCCACCAATAATATTCAGGAGCATATGAAGACTCCCCAACACTGCAGCCTTCTGCATTACCCAGAGTGTCAGAAGGGCTGTGCTCCCGGTGGAGAACCGGGCACTCTCCTGATGTGCGCCATGAGATCACCACGTTCCAAACCAAGGGCACCAGAGAACAATGGAGAGTCGACAGTGTACTTGTTTTGCAAAGCGAGAAATTTAAAAAGCAAAGTCCGCATTTTTATCAGGTTTGTAGGTTAGGATGTCCGAAGCTGTATATGGGCCTATTCCGAAGAATGTTGTGATTGCCATTTTCCATGGCGACATATTATTATTACGTATTAAAGATTAAACTGTTTTGGGTGATCCTGGAATATTTATTATGTTAGGCTCCTCATCAGCCGAGGACCTTTGCCTCATTACATACAGCCCCGACAGTCAAGGACTCGCGACTTGGTAGAACCATCTATGAACGTTTCAGAGATTGTGTACTCCCCAGCACTGCAACCTTCTGAGTTCAGAGTGTCAGTAGGACTGGCAGCTAACCGAGGTACTCTCCTAATGTCAGTCAAAAGATTGGGAGGTACCAAACCTAAGGCACCAGTAAAATGGGGAGTCGTACAACTTGGTAACGGAGATGCAAGAGTGACATTTCGTAAGCGAGGTTCGTATATTTGCCATGTTTTCTCGGAATCTTTCAAGCCCAATTGTGTCAAAAGAGACGGATAATGCATCGAAATGAATAATTCCCTTAGCTTGTATAAAAAGACAAGGTCAGGTGTGTTGGCATGGCTACGTCCGAAGCTGTATACCGGCGTATTCCAAAGAATCCTATAATTGTCATTTTCCCATGACGCCCTCGACATATTCTGGGTCATACCATGGATGTACAAACACCACAGCATGGCGAAAACAGTAATACAACGCTTACGATACTGTGTTTGTACCAAAATTGAGCATCCAGAGTTGTACAGTATCGTTCATTGAATGTATTTTCTTCTTCTTTCTCCCATTATTGAACGAGATACTATAGTCTGTGTTCTCGGTAGTTCTGTATGAATGTCAGACTCTATCTAAGAGGTACGGGAAGTTGAAAGAAAACTTGAAGATTGTCCTTTCTGACCCAATGAAAAGGTTCCAAATATTGGCTTTCACCTTTATCTTTAAAGATGTGTTTCATGACTACAAATCTTGCACATTAACGGTATCCTGATCAATATTCGTTATATACAATCATGTGAATTAGTCAGCCACATGTAGGTTTACGTATGATGAATAAGTGTACTGTAATTTATTTATGTTCAGCATCCATAACGTATTTTAGTACGTTATGAGGATTAAGTCACAGGGGCTTGTAACGCTAAAAACTGCCATCAAGGTATATACTGTCACTGACGGGGTCTTAGTACTATATAAAAGAAAATGGGATGTAACGAGGTGAACACACCAGGTTCGTTTCAGGGCGAATTCAACAATACTCACTGTATTTATCCCTTTAAAGTTGCACACATTTCAAGCCAATACATTTACCTATAAAATAAGACATACAGCACTAAAATCGAAGCAGTACTTTGGGAGCTAGGGTCTTCGGAAGCTCGAAAAATCGTGATTACTATGAAAAACATTGGCAGAGGGGTACATAAAGTACGTGGTCCAGACTACCATTTTTGTGGACGCCTCGGTGGCTGAGTTGGTCAGATCGCAGACTGTGTCCCTAATGGGACTCAACCCAAACAGGTACTAGAATCTGTACTTTACTAAGAAAGTGTAATCCTAAATAACTTGTATATGTAATTTTTGTTCCACTGTTCATGGAAAAACGGTATTGTTGTCCGATATGTTTAGGAGAACCTAAAAAACCTGGTTGCCCACATTCCGTAAACAAGCTACGCGGATTTACGAAGAGCACGCCGGTTTTTACGCACATGCTATCAAAGACCTCAACAATGGATTGAAGTTAGTTCTTCAATGTATGTTCAAAGAATGTTACATGAACCATGTCTTCTGACTGACTCTTGCTGGTGATTGTATTCCTATGGATGCTTGTGTTGAATATTATTTTTCAGATGTATTGGAATTCTATTGCTCCAGATATTGATGTGTTGTGAACACAATTAAACAAATGAAGTACAACTTTGAACTTATCACCTGTCTAGTGGTGTCGTGCCCTTTCAAAACAGAAGGGTCACGTGTCTACAGTGATACCAACAGTTCATTAACAATAGGAAACTTAAGCTCAGAAATAATATTACTTGAATAATTAGCGTACATATCATCTTAGATTAGGGATTCTGTTTATCAGATACAAATGAACAAATATATTAGAGGGACAACATAAAAAATAACGAAGAAATGTGTATGTAGGGTATACAAATTAATTACTACCCCAAGCAATAGTGACTTTTATCTATACTCAAATAACTTAGTTAAGTACCCCCTGACATATCTCACGATTGAATGATCCCCGATCTTAACCCTTTGGAGCATATCTGGGACATGATTGGTCGTCATTGTGCAACAAAGGATGTACAGAACCTGGCCCAATTTGGAAGCTGCTTTTACACGAGGAATGGTGTAGACTGTCCTTCAGAGGATCAGGATACTGACAGAAGGAGTATGGAGAGAGTGCTGGCTGTCATACAGTCACATGGAAGTTACACTCGATATTGACCTTGAATCGTGTAAGACACGCAAAATGACATTTGAATGTTTACATTCACCAATATATTCACCATTAAACATTCCAGGGCATACTTGTATAGACATGGTTTGGTATGAAAATCAGTGTTTTATAAAATGAGCAATTATCATAATAAAATCAACATAGATTCCAATCATTTGTCCTTTTATTAGTCAAAGGATCATACGGGTCAGAAAAACTAATGTTTTTGCATCGTGGTCACCACGAGAAGTTTATGTACGTGTTAAAAACCTGTCATTGCACAAGTTACAGGGGTGTTTAATCAAGTTCTTTGTGTAGACATTAATTAGCATGCTAATATTATCAACTTTATCCAATATATGAGACCTCAAAACAAATATGTAACTATCCTTCAACTCCTGCTTGGACTATACCAACCTAGCGGTATATATTTTATAATCATGCCATGGAAAGGTTTCAAAGTCATTACAAAATCATACGCCGTGTGGGCTTCCATGTGAGAGGGTATTATTTAATTGGGGATAGGATGGAAACATGTACACACACGGGCGGTGAGACTGTCACAAGCCGGGTCAGGCCTGATTATTTACCGACTGTTGGACGAGAAAATGGCATACACTCACTCACTTGGCACATTAACTGAAAAGGCTGTGTTGTTAGACAATTTCAGTATTTAAATAATTAGACAATATGATGAGAATGACAAGTTTACAGTGCTGAATGGTGTCAGATTGTAAAGAACAGTTATGATGAAAATGAAAAGTGTTTCACTGCGTCTTCGTTGCAACTGGTATTCAACAATTATGTAGCTAGGTATATCTGTGAAAAGTCTGAATCTAGGAAAATATACACTTCTACAAAAACAATGTCTCTGATTTAGGCTATTGAACTTCTGTGAGTGGGTATTTGGAATACGTTTTCTAGGTTTATGACAAGACTAGTACAGTTATAACGGTCATCGTAGCTTATATGGAATTTTGTTTACCATGTATGATAGTTCTCCATACAATTAAATGGGTCCATAAAGTTCCTCGTTTGAAGCATCGTATCACCAGTGTTAAGCATACCAGTATGATCCAGTATGAAAAAAAACCCCGAAACTGTCTTTTAACGACCGTGGACAGTGTCCTTATGGACAGAGCAATTAGATCCTGATCGCGGGTATGTCTCGTATACATGAAAGCTACTGATTGCTGGGTTGACAGAGATAAGGGGTCTAAAGTAGATAAGGCGAAATGTGTCTACTTCCTCTAATCCTCGACACAGTTAACATTCTTTAGTCTGAGTAGCGTGCAACCTCTGAGCCACCCCCCTCCAAACGTCAAGTTATATAAAACAGTTAATATACTGAACAAAACAAGAAACTCCACACTTGGAGAAATGAATCGTGGATAGCACAAGGTGGTTATTATGGGCGAATACCATAATGGCCAGGTCTTACCTGACACATCCTCTCATTTCAACTGCAACATACTCATTTATGAAAACGCGACAATGCACTTATCACATGACCACAAGTTCGTGAGCCTAACTACCAACACGTGGCTGACTATTTTACACTTGCCATGACATGAAGTAGAAGGCGGACAATTCACAAACCCGAGAACATGTGCACCAATTAGGTACGACATCTGATCGCCCCGGACAGTGCATCCTTCTGTTGGGCCGATTCGGACATACATAATCCGTAATGAACGTCTAAACTGGGCACATTGACGTTATGGAGGGCCATCGAGGGCGATGACCTGACCTTAATGCTCATCGAAGACGACTTCGTGCTTTGAGACTTCAACCCCAGAATGTTCAAGAGCTATACGCCATGTTGGTAGAGCAATGGCGCGGGTTGCCTAATGCTGTGTTTACGGGTGTCAATGAGACAACGTTGCCTTGACGTTGTGAATGCGAGAGGGGAGGAAGTTCCAAATGAAGATGACTTGTCCTTGTGAAATAAAAAAGTGACCCATTCTTGCTACTGTTGACTATGGAGGGCGCACCATGCGCACCTTAATGCCTAACGTTGTTTTAGTGTACACTCATTACGTCCAAAAACTATATTTATCCACTAGCAACACACTTTGTTCTATACGTTTAAGACATAAAGTAACACTTGTAAAGTTTCTTTTTTTGTTTAGTACATATTTCACTCTGAAATTACTTTAGGAGCAGATCCGTATTTACAGGAATAAGCAAGTGAAACCGTGTCAGCCTTTTTCCGTAGAGAGTCAGACGAGTACACTGCTCTTGAAATACAGCGTGTAATTCGAGTATGCCTGTAAGTATAATCACATTTGTTAATATTCCATGTACCTCATCCATATGTAGTAAATGAAGTATCCACCACCCGTGTTAAAGCTATTTTGTTGGTTACTGGTAAAACACATATGTTGCATTTTAGAATATCCAGAATGGAAACACGGCCTTACCTGCAACTGCCTCTGTTATGTCTGATAGTTCTGGTCAGTGGAAGGACAGGTACGTTGGTTGCCAGGTAATATGACGACTTCACAATCCCATCGTGTTAAAATATATTTACTCGTATAAAATATATATTATTTCACATACGCCTTTAGTTAGGGTATATGATTGACTTTTTGATATTATTTTGTCATGGAAAGCATAGCTTTTCACATTTGTCACTTTTCATAAAAAATCTAGTACATTTGAAGTTCTGTGTGTTTTTCAGGCTCACCAATCCCTAAGCCCCCGTGCCTACGTTCTCGATGCAAAGGGGACATTTGTGTCAAGGATATATGCTCCCTGGGGTGCAAAGATGGGTATTATGGCCGGAGCTGTGGGTATAGATGTAGCAGAGGATGCGTCAGCAACAGATGTTCCGACTCTAGATTCGGTACAGGAAACTGTACTGATGGCTGTATCTCAGGATACTGGGGAAGTACATGCAGTTTCGAATGCCCTATTGATTGTCTACGGTGTTTAGATAATACATGCACAAAATGTACAGCGTTTCTTTACGGACCATCTTGTGGTTCCAACTGCAGAGAAACATGTCCCACTGAAGGATGCCATATGGATGGTACTTGCAGAGATGATCAGCAATCAGTTGCCTGCGCTAATGGAAACTTTGGGCCGAAATGCCAGTTTGGCTGCAACGAGAACTGTGCCTTTCGTGCTTGTAATCGTTCCTCTGGTGTCTGTCTGCACGGGTGTGAAAAAGGCCACTTTGGATCAAGATGTGAATTCCGATGTACCACTAACTGTAAAGGAGCACTGTGTGATGCCCAAGGCAGGTGTCTAGCTGGCTGTACATCGGGCTACTATGGGCAAGACTGTGATGAGCAGTGCAGTGACGAATGTCGTCAACGTGTATGTGATCTGAAAACAGGTTACTGTATCAACGGCTGCAACGATGGACACTACGGCTTTCTCTGCAACAGGTCGTGTAGGGATTGTTCTGTCTGTAACCGGGAGAACGGACTATGCCTCGTAGATGAAGTACAACCAGGTTAGTGTTTAAACTTAATAATGCCATTTCCCATTGTGCAGGTGACCAGGTTTGTATATTACCTTTAATGTTACAGCAGTGTTTGCACGTACCATACGGTATATTTGGGATTACACTTTCTCAGTGAAGTACAGATTCTAGTACTTTTTGTACTTTTGGGCGGGCGGGTTTGGTCCCATCCGGGATTCGAATCCACACTCTCGTAGTCAGGCACCTTATCGTCATCACACAAAGTCAGCGATTCAACCCTCTGGGAAAAGTACTGGGTACGTAGCGTTACAACTGCTGTGTGAAACAGGAAGTGGCCCGATCCACCATGCGTTCATAGCGTTATATTAATACAGTGGAAAATATATCTATAACAAATGTATGGTTAGCACAAGTTTACAAACGCCACGAAGCTTGTAGAACAGCTATCTCGTCCCCAGTAACTCTCGTACCAAAAGCAAAGCAAGTAAACTTGTCTGACAATTTCCGTTCATGTGTAATGTTAGCTCACTGGACTAAGCTTATATCTTGTAAACTATACTCATTTCTCCACATCACAGTTGAATATCGGGCGGTGGGTAGCCTAGTGGTTAAAGCGTTCGCTCGTCACGCCAAAGATCCGGGTTCGATTCCCCACATGGGTACAATGTGTGAAGCCCATTTCTGGTGTCCCCTGCCGTGATATAGCTGGAATATTGTTAAGAAAGCGGCGTAAATATGAACTCAATCAATCATTTGAATATCGAATTTGTATTATTTTGTACAGGAGGCACGTTGGCATACTGTACCTTCATACTGTACACTCTGTACATCAAATATATTTGTTGACGTTTTTAAGAAGTAAGACTAATACTAACGGTGTGTGTGTGTGTGTGTGTGTGTGTGTGTAAAAACATCCTCAACCTGAGATAAGTTCTGTAAAATGATCAGGTGAAAGATCCTTCGGTGATTCCATTAACACCTATTATATTTGTTGGAGTGGATTGTTATTTGGGAATCGTGTGTTCAGGGCAGTATGATCCTCCTGAGAGGGTACGTAAGTCCAGCTAGGGTCCATGCAGGTAGCAAAGTAATGTAAGTCCCCATGGTTCCTAGTATGGTGATCTATAGCCCGTGTTTTATATTGTATTGTCTTCTTTAATTAAAAATATTTTCAGTTTCATATGCTAGTTTTATGTTCATATCTGTGATACTCTAGTGCTTTTACTGTCCATTATAGACAGGTTTTTACTCTTAAAAATATTTTCATTATTTATTGTATAAATTGGTCTCTAGTCACGATATGGCTGAGATATTGCCGATGTGATGTTAAATATGAACTCACCACTCACCCAGGCAGTGTGGACTTATTGGTAAAGCGTCTTTACCCAGGTGGTACTGATCCTAGCTTATAAGATCAGTCACTGGTTTGCCTGGACCAGATTCGATTATTTACAGGACGCTATGTTCTACTTGGAATAATGTTGCCCCGACGAATTAAACAAAAGCGTATAAGGAATCATCTTTCTGTTTTTAGAACCGACGCTGGATACAGAGGACGGGGACGTCCAGATGACACCGTCTGTGAACTTACGTCATAGGATCTGTGGTGTTGCTGCTGCCTTTCTGGAACAGTAGCTTCCCTCAATAGAAGGTACCCCTCAAAATTGACTGTTTTGTGCCGATATCTGTACATTATGAAACATCAAATATCCTGTTTTTTATGATACTATTTGTTTCTTCCTGGTCAGAACTCATGTGATAAGCTTCTGTATAATTCCAGATCATGTACGTCATCGTCCATCAGACCAACAGGCTTGCTAAGCTCCCCAAGGTAGACAACTGCCAGACGTACCGATGTCTGCAAATGCTTATGACAACATCAACGAAGATGACATGGATGCAAGCGATGGGGTCGTTGCAAGGAAGCAGCAACAACACGCGCAGAATACGCGGTCAACCTCCACCTTCCCCAGTTGCTATGTGTCACACCGCACGGCCAAGAGAGCACAAGACTGGACATTTGCATATGTTCAAACATCCCTACAGAGGGCTAACTCCTTGCCAATATTTGACTGGAAGTGGAACGAGTCGGAGAGCTCATTGACGGATCCTACTGGATTTCAGGCGCGACGTGGGAATCAAGGAGAAGACCGAACCCTTATGGAAGAAGCTTGTTGCCTGGTGGATAATGTGGCGTATGAAAGTAGAGCTGCGCATGTGTAATTCAACCCGCGTGTGGATACCTGGTTCCTGTAGCCAGTGATCCATGTCTTGATTACACCCCACTTTTAGCGACATACATAGCTGGCCTTAAACGTCAAGCATTCAATCGTTTATAGGAATAACTCGATTATATTAATAATTTTATTATGGTCAGATAAATTCAAATTGTTTTGTATAATTAAAATTTGTACGTGTAATTTCTACTTTGTATGAAAGATATTTCCCAAACCTTGAAACGTCTTCAAAGTTGAGAAAGTTGTATTGGAAAGCCTAGCCTGGTGCATATATGTGTACCTTCTGGAGGATACATACTGACAGTAGGGTATAAGAGACTGTCATGGCGACATGATTAGAACAAACCTTTGTCTGAACGAACATTTAATTCCCAAAGCTGGGCATTTAAATAGAAAATTCACAATAGCCATGACACATATACACGTCTATAATTCCGAAATTGCCATGCGACTTATAGGAAGCTAATCCCGACATTAACATTCTGTGAATTAAAAAACGAAGATGGTCTTACCCTCAGTTTTTGCTTAGCTACGTGCCCGCCACCAACGCCGCCACTTCTGTCAATTAACGTGCGGTCCTGACACATAGTGATTCTTGTATGTTCATATAGGACCCGTGAAGATCCGGGTTAGAATGGATCTTCAGTAGCCCATGCTTGTCGTAAGAGGCGACTAATGGGATCAGGTAGTCAGACTCGCTGACTTGGTTGACACATGTCCTTGTATCCCAATTGCGTAGATCGATGCTCATGCTGTTGATCACTGGGATGTCTGTCTGGTCCAGACTCAATTATTTTGCAGACCGACGCCACAAAGCTGGACAATTGCTGAATACGGTGTAAAGCTCACTCACTCACTCACTCACCCACCCACTCACCTACTCACTCACTCACTCACTCACCCACCCACTCACCTACTTCACTCGACTCACTCACTCACTCAACCACTAGAGTTCGCTCGCATGGTGCAAGAACGGGAGGCAACTCGTCCATTCTTATTGCACAATAACACATACATAACGTGATACAAATGCGTAATACAGTCAACTTGGTCATTCAAACGAAAATTGGAGCAGCTCATAAAGGTACCTTTGTTCCAAATAGTACATCTTTCTTTGCATTCATCGCTTTTACTTCGAATTGTCTGCCGCGGCTACAGCTGAATGTTTTCTTGGGTGTTTTTGCTCCAGTTTATAGCATTTATTGACGGTTGGAATTGCTGTAGAACTGTCTTTGTAAATAATCATTGGATATGAAATAAATGATGTTATTACACCGACGTGGAGTTTTATACGTCTCAATACTCGAGACTGTATACTTGGTTATGGTCTTGTCCTTGTATAACGATGTTCATATACTTACACCTCTATATTATTGAGAGCCACTTAATCTTCAGATCTACTAACACGAGCAAAGGCAAGACGTTCACTGGAAAATACGTAAAAATATGGGTCAAAATAGTCAATTGCATTAAGAAATATTTTGGTTACTGAGGCATGAAATTGGCAAATAGCCGCCACATTCTTTCCATAAAACGTTTGAAATAATTGTGTTTAGATTACAAACTTACGTCTTTGTATCATGAGAGCACAAAACAGATTCTGATAATAAAATGACCATTTCCTCAATAAGTGGTAAAACAAATCCCATCCCATGACATCTAAATACTTGGTCAAATACATTATGAATCACTTCTTTAAGCTGTCATACAAATAAAGGGTGAGCATATATATTGCTTCGTGAAACCGTCTCTAACATATGCAAATGTCGAAAAGACGAAACATATGGTACGGGTAAAACGAAACTGTTTTTAAACATTTTTTGTTGCTGAAGCATCAAACTGGCAAATGTCCCGCACATGTCTTCCATAAGACGTTTGAAAGCTTTTCTGAGGCCTTGACTATTGTAACTTTCATTGAGTAAACCTTTCAGCATGAGTCGTTGAAGATTTTAAGGGGTCACCCATTTTGTTCTTGAGGAGGCAGGGGGGCATCAATTTTGTACACATATACTAGGGGGTTACAATTATGTACACAGAAATGTTAAAAAAATATGCTTAAATATTATGGGAAGGAGGGGGTCATTGATTTTGTACATGACATGGGATGGGGTCACTT